TGTGGAAGAAAATATATCAAAATGTTAAGCGTCTTTCTGGGTGTTTAACTTCTTGCTGTGCTTTTTTCCAGTGGTTCAATTCAACAAACAGCGTTTATGACAACCACAAAAACATGTTTTAAAAATACCGTGGAGGCTGAGGCTTCCCAAACGGCGTGGTGTGAGGCCAGGACTTCTGCAGAGTGCCCGCAGGCTCTCCCAGTCCTCAGCTTACTTCCCGCTGGCCCCAGCCGCTGGCTTCTGGCCCAGGTTCAGCTGCGGCCGTTTTCAGAGGCCCCAACAGTCTCCTTTCCTGACCCTAGATCCTAGCTGCTCCCCATTTGGCTCCGGATGGTGGGCGACCCGGTTCCTTCCCCTCCAAGCTTCCCTGGGCTGAGTTCCTTTAAGCACCCATGGGCTTAATTTGGACTGAATTGATTTACTGGGCAATGACTACACAATCTTACCCCTCCCGCTCCCCGAACTTCAGCCACGGGGCCTGCAATGCCATATTTTGCCAATAGGTGGTGCTGCCTGACACAAAAGCGCTCTGGCCCCAGGTCCTCAAGATCGACTTTGGGGATCTTTAAAACGATCCCCCAAAAAGGAGGGGCATCCTGACAGAGCAGTGCTACCCAAGACACAGGGGACACAGTTGCCATCTAACACCACCAACAGCACCGTCGCGCAAGAACAGCCATTTCAATACCAAGAATTCAGGAAGAAAAACGTCACAATAAAGACGGTCCTAGAAAAGGAACGTATTTCATTTTAAGAAGAACTCAGTCCTGCAGTTCTTATTCTTATCCTTTCACCTCAGGTCACTGAGAACTTCACTCTAGACCTGCAGTGGCCTGGACTGGCCCTTTAAGAACCCTTGCTCTTGACAAAGATTCCTGGAGTTGGAGGTGCCTCCGATCCCCAGAGTTAGCTTAGTTAACTTGCTTCAGATTAAGAACCCCTTTTTGCTCGCAGTGTGCAGTGAGAAACATGTGCTCCCTCTTTCCTCCTCTGAGGGCTGCAGTGGAGCCGTGAGCCCCTCACAAGCAGACCCGTCCTGCTTAAACACACAGATCCAACCACACCATGTTCCCTGCTGCCTACAAAGTCAACAGGACTCAGCATTCCACACCAGCAGCCTCATGATCCAGGCCTGCCTCCCGCGCCAGGATCAGGAGAGCCGCCTCTAACCCGCCCCGAAACAACAAAATGGTGAGCTTGGCCTTGCCAACTTCAGTGCTTGGGACAAGCCGGCTCGTGCCTCCCACCTGCAGCACTTCGGCATCCACTGTTCTTACCCATCACGTCAGCATAAGGTGACCTCATGGGGAGCCACCTCCTCTGCTCCCAAGGCACCTGCTACATGATAATTATACAGCACTCATCTTGCCACAAGGATGTCACAGTCCCCCAAAGACGCAAGCTCGTCTGGGGAGGACTGTATCTACTTAGCTTGCGTTCCCTCATCAGGGCTTGACCCACGAAAAGCACCCAGTACATCTCCGCTGACTTGATTCTCCCTGCCGGCAAGCATGCCTGGGTCAGCGTTTCAACATCCTGACTTCAGACTTTTTCAGTAAACCCAGGAGATGCTGGAAAAGCTGGCAGGCCCATTAGAAGCCAGAAAAAAATAGCAGGAACCCCCAGGGTGTGGGGAACTGTGTGTCCGGCAGGAAAAGTTCATGGGGTTCCCTGATCCCCTGGGAAACCTCAGCTGCTGTGACATCCCCTGCCCCCCACAAAAATCTTTCTGAATGTGTTAGCTCTGAAACAGATTTTTAAATGCTCATAAAGCATACAAACATCTGGATGGCTTATTAAAAAAAGTTGTTCTTAAAAATGAAGTAAAAAACACTTACGGTCTATAAATGGGATACGTAACTTTGAGTGTAGCAAAAGAATAAACTGTTTCCTAGCCAGTTAATATCAAACGGCAGCAACCCTAAATATAAATCGACCAAATCTCCCAATCAAAAGATACAGACAAAATCTAACGGTATATCCAAAGATATACATAGACTCAAAGTAAAGGGTTGGAAAAAAAAACGTACCAACCAAATGGAGAGCAAAAATAAATAAATAAAAAGCAGGAGTTGCAATTTTCACATTTGACAAAATAGATTTCAAAGCTACAAGGATAAAAGGATTAATGTAATAATAAGAGATCTTAACACCCAGATACATAAGACCGATAATGAGATATAGATTCAACGAGACAGAAAATTGATAACGATATCCGGGACTGGAACTAAGATCCAGAACAAATAAACTCAATAGAGCTCTCCATTTTAAACACACAAAATATACATTATCCACAAAATCTAACGATATATCTAAAGATATACAAAGACTCAAAACAAGGGGATGGAAAAAAACTCACCAACCAAATGGAGAGCAAAAATAAATAAATAAAAAGCAGGAGTTGCAATTCTCACACTTAATAAAATAGATTTCAAAGCTACAAGGATGCAAGGGTAAAAGGATTAATGCAACAATAACAGATCTTAACACCCAGATACATAAGACACATAATGAGATTTAGATTCAACGAGACAACAAATTGATAACGATATCCAGGACTTGAACTCAGAGCCAGAACAAATAAACACAATAGAGGTCTCCATTTTAAACACATAAAATATGCATTAACCACTTTAAACACTCAAATTATTGATCGGCCATTATTGAAACCCATTTTAGGAATGAAGTAATATTCCTTTTTCCCTCTTTTTCTTTTTTTCCCCTTCTTCTCTTTTTCCCTCAAAAAAAAAATAAATAAATAAAAAATAAAAGAGAACTGTCTTTACCCTACTCCTTTGATTAACTCCTTGTTTCTTAAAATAAATAAATAAATAAATAAACTGTTTCCTAAAAAAACGATAGGGAAAATGAGAAAAGCAAAACACAACTGTATGCGCAGTGTGGTCAGTGTATAACGTAAGCGATTGATCAACAAAAACAGGCAGGGACAGGAAGAAACACAACAGATAATAATTACCGTTTAGTGGGTACGGAGTATGGCCCATGCACCAAGCAAAATGTTTTACCTCCGCAACCCCAGTCAGTCCTCACAGCCCTTCTGTAAGGCAGGAGTTACCGCACCGACTCGTAGGTTACACAACATTTCTAAGAGGAGACAGAGCCGGGAATGAAATCCAGGTCGAACAGCAACGCTCAAAGCTCACTTAACATGAACGTGTTTCCTTTTATGATACATTGACTAGGTGTTTTAAATCACAGTTAAAAGAAGAGAAGCCCTGCCTTTGCAAACACAGTAGGCAAAGCTCCGGGGCCTCAGAGCTTCTGCGCCTCAGCGCGTGCCCACGAAGGCCGGCCCACAGCCAGACACACACAGAATGGCCAGACTCGTCCTGAATGGCCTCCGCTTTGTTTTCAACAAGCTCAAGTCGGCGGCTTTCTTACGACTTCCCTCTTCGCCTAAAGTTCACGTGATCAGATGTGAAGCTCAAGGAGCGGTTTCCTTCATTGATCTAGTAACTTCCTAGAAAGCAGCTAAGAAGCCGGTTAATAATCTAACATGTTTAATGGGCCAAAGACACAACAGGCAACTCATTAAAAAGGAAATACAAATTGCTCAACTTGTTCATTCACAAGAAAAACGCATATTAAAACTATAGAAATACTAATTTCTACCAGTCTGGCAGAGATAACTCCTCCACACAGAAAGCTCTCTGGCAGTGGGGCTGTGACAGCCGAGAAAGCCCTCCACCGAGGTGCTCCAGCAGCACCCACCCGCACTGCACCGAGGCGCTCCAGCAGCACCCACCCGCACCCACCCGCGCTGCACCGAGGCGCTCCAGCAGCACCCACCCGCGCTGCACCGAGGCGCTCCAGCAGCACCCACCCGCGCTGCACCGAGGCGCTCCAGCAGCACCCACCCGCGCTGCACCGAGGCGCTCCAGCAGCACCCACCCGCGCTGCACCGAGGCGCTCCAGCAGCACCCACCTGTGCTGCACACACTCTCTGACCCAGGAGTCCCATTGCTGGGAACTCACCTTTCAGACTAACTTGTGACTGAAAAACAGCCCACATACACGATTTACTGAGGCAGTGGTTTTAGCTGAAAAGGACGGGACACAACTAAAATAGCACTTCATCCAAAGGAGCCTAGTACATGTACGATTATGGTACCCCCATACATCCATGCACCCTGAAATAACGGGGAGGCCCGGCTGGGCGCGGTGGCTCATGCCTGTAAACCCCAGCACTTTGGGAGGCTGAGGCGGGCAGATCACCTGAGGTCAGCAGTTTGAGACCAGCCTGGCCAACATGGGGAAAACCCTGTCTCTACTAAATACACACAGACTAGCCAGGTGTGGAGGAGCATGCCTGTAATCCCAGCTACTCAGGGGCTGAGGCAGGAGAACTGCTTCAACCCAGGAGGCGCAGATCACTGTGAATGGAGATCAGCCACTGCACTCCAGACTGGGAAACAAGAGTAAAACTGTGCCTTAAAAAAAAAAAAGAAGAAGAATGGGGACGTGCGTTCAGTATTATTATGGAGTTCAAAATATTAACGAAGAAAAAAACCCCAAACAAGCAGTACACAAGAAACTGGTGATGCAGGCGTGTCTGGGCTGGGGGTGGCCGGCTGGCGGGGGACACTTCACCGTATACTCTTCAGGGCTTTTTGAATTGTGGACTGTGTGAATATATTAGTTATTCGGAAAAACAAACTTAAAACCCTTAACACACTGAAGGGTTCTTTGTTCCTGAAGTTTGGGCTTAGCTCTATCTAACCAAGTTGCGGCACTCTCTCCTGCCGTGTATCCTGGCCTGCAGAAACCCATGCGGCAGGTGGAATCCCTGCACTGGGAAAGTCCCGGAAACTCTGCAGGGGGCATGCAGGCGCCGCCGGGGTCCAGGCCTGCATGCCCTCCCTGCGCCTCCAGGTGGAGCTGCAAGGCCTGCTGCCTGCCGGAGATGCTGGTGGCCTGGGGATCCCTGGGGCCTGGGGCTTCCTGACCAGCAGGCGAAGAAACAGGCAGGCACAAGTAAGTAACATAAAATAGAACTAACTTTATTTCTCTGGAAGAAGCAGGTATCGGATGCTGGGGCAGCAGCTTTGCCAACAGAGGCTGCTGGGAAAACATGGAATGGCACGGGGAATTTGGGTGGAAGAGGAAGCACTCACGTCCCTCAGGGCGGCTGCCCCTCAGTCTCCTTCCAGCCCTGGGGCCTTGGGCCCTGGTCCTCGCCAGAGAATGGTCTGACACCCTTTCTCTGCTTCCCGAGCCACCTCAGGCTATTTCCAGGCACAAGATCCTGAGGCCAGCCAAGTCCCATTCACGTCCACCATGAGGCCACCAGTCACATTCTGCCCGGCACCCCAACTGCCTGCCAGGGGCCCCCTGGAAGAGGGCCCAATCCTAGGAGGTCCTGCTGGGTGCTGGTCCCCTTCTCTCTGGCCAACACATCTTCCTTGCCCAGGTCAAGCTTGATTTCCTCCCAGTCTGGTCACCCAGGGCAGGGCCTGGGGCACTACTCCAGCCACAGGCCCGGCCCAGGACTGGAGTCAGAGGCAGGTCATACCCAGAACCCGCTGGGGCAGCCCCTAGGCCTGTCTTCACCAGGCTCCTTCCTGCATCTTGGCTGGGGCACTAGGGCCGAACCAAAGTGTGCAGGGACAGCGCTGGTACGGGAGGGATGAGCAGGGCAGGGCTCCCAGCCTCCAATGCCTTGTTTGGCCTTGCTCTGTCCCAGGAGCAGCAGGGAGCAGCGGGTCCTCCAGGCCTGGATGGGGGTGTCTCCCACCCCTGGTGGATGGACAGGCTCAGGTGATTCCTTCAGGTGGGCCCTCTGGCTCTCCTGACGCATCTCAGCGCCTACAGAATGGGAAAGCACCACATCACAGAAAGGTCAGGGGGTGGTTGTGGGAGCCGCTGGAGTCACTGCCTCCTGGTGCCAGGCAACACCACCGAAGACTGGCAGGCCCCAGCAGGAACTGTGAAATTTATCATCCTGGGTGTCCGCTCTACTTTTAACAAACTATGAATAAATTAAGAGACTCCTGTGTATTATCGAATTCGAAGACGACAGGTGCCATCTGTGCAAATCAGTAAGCAGCACCACGAGGTAGTGACGCTGAGTGCCTGCGACCCGAGCCAGGCGTGGGGTGCGCTACACGCAGACATGCCCCTCATCCATAGCGCCAGTCCCTTCTACGAGGTGGGCACTATTATCTACACACTTTACATATGGGAAAATCTCAGCGCGGTGCACAAGACCAGATGCTGGTGACAAGGACAGCGGGTCCGGACTGCGCTGTGCCTCCAAGGCCTGGCCAGTCTCAGCCCCGCCTCCAGCCAGCGCCTCCTGCAATGACGCCCACTCCATCCATCCGACCTCAGTTTACACTGACTTGATACAACTCTCAGATACAGATACATTGTTTATATAATATACAAAGCATGTTTATATATTTATGTTTTTAATATGTCTATGTATTTTGTTACACTATAAACTTTTTACAGGAAAGACAATACATGTTCTTTTTAGCAGGGGGGAAAAAAAAAGGCCGGGCGCGGTGGCTCAAGCCTGTAATCCCAGCACTTTGGGAGGCTGAGGCGGGTGGATCACGAGGTCAAGAGATCGAAACCATCCTGGTCAACATGGCCAAACCCTGTCTCTACTAAAAATATTAAAAAAATTAGCTGAGCATGGTGGTGCGTACCTGTAATCCCAGCTACTCAGGAGGCTGAGGCAGGAGAATTGCCTGAACCCAGGAGGCGGAGGTTGCGGTGAGCCGAGATCACGCCATTGCACTCCAGCCTGGGTAACAAGAGCGAAACTCCGTCTCAAAAATAAACAAACAAACAAAAAAACTTGTTAAAGAAAAAAAAAATTTTTTTTTTTTTTTTTTTTTGGAGACAAGTCTTGCTCTGTTCCCCCAGGCTGGACTGCAGTGGCACACAGTCATGCACCACCATGCCCAGCTAATTTTTCTATTTTTAGTAGAGACAGGGTTTCACCATGTTGGCCAGGCTGGTCTCAAACTCCTGACCTCAGGTGATCCCCCCTCCTTGGCCTCCCAAAGTGCTGGGGTTTACAGGCATGAGCCACTGCCCAGATGGCACTGAAATTTTAAACATTACTTTAAACAGAAACACAAAAACATGGAGGTGAGAAACAGGGGTATAAATCACAGGCCCTAAAGTGCTGCTCCCTGGAGCTGCTCGGGGTCACTGTGGGTGCAAGGGAAGCAAGCCCCCTTTAACTGGAGAGGCTCCAGGTCCCTCTTGTACTCATCTGAAAACCAAGTGGCTAACATGTCCAGATAAATGCATTTGGGAGAAATTATTTCCTGGGCCCTGTGTGCTCCTCCCTCCCGCAGCTGGAGGGCTGTGTCCCTAGTGGGAGTGGCTGTGAGGTGTGCGGCTTCTTCCCAGTGTGGCAGGCCCCGGGTAGCCCTCCTGGGGCACGGGGTGGGCTCACTCACTTGTGGTGGGCAGGGCCCGGGTAGCCCTCCTGGGGCACGGGGTGGGCTCACTCACTTGTGGTGGGCAGGGCCCCAGGAGCCCAGAAGGTGGCAACCGGCCTGCTCGAGGTTCCAGTCGAACATCTCCAGCACTTTGTGGCACTCCCCTCTGGGCCGCAGACCCAGCCCGAAGAGCTGCTCCACCTGGGGGCAAGGGTGGTGCCATGGACACATGGGCCTAGGGTACCAACTAGGGTGGGGAAGAGGAATTGGAACAGGGACGGGGGCCAGGGAGCAGCAGAACCAGGCTTCAGGGTCCCTGAAAGCCAGAGCGAGCAGGAGGTGGCGGTACCTTCAGATACTGGGCAGCCCTCTGCACGCTCCAGCCGTGGCTCTGCAGGGCCGCCTGGCACTCCTCTGTGGTCACCCCATGCACCGTGGCCTGCAGCTGGGCACACCCACCCCCCGTCAGCACCTCTCAGGCCCACTGCTCTGGGTCCCTTGGCCTGCCCCGCCCCCACAGCCAGGCCCAGTACTCACCATCTGGACCTTGTCTGCCAGCCGGCCCGCCTCTGGCCCATCCCCAGCGCAGCCCCGCTGTGGCGGCCGAGCAGTGGCCCTCGGGGCTGGTGGCCGGGCCCCTGGGTTGCTGTTGTTGGTGGAGAAGTTGGATTTGGGGTCCAAGGCAGCCTGGGGCATCGGCCGAACGGTGGCCGTGGGGGCAGCAGGGGCTGGGGTGCTGGGTGGGGGCAGCAGCAGGGGCACAGGCAGGGGGGCTGGCTCCTCGGGGCTCTGGGCCTCACGCAGGAAGCGCTGGTAGCGCTCCAGGTAGGACGGGCGCTCAGGCAGCAAGTAATAGTGGGTGCTGCTGACCTTCTTGCCATCCCGGACGATGGGCAGGATGCAGGGACTGGCCCGTGGGCCAGGCGCCTGGATCACCTGAGGGGTGGCGTACTTGGGGTCTGAGGCGAAGCTTTGGGTGGTAGGCATGGTCTTCCCGGGTGAGCTTGAGAGCCGGGGCGGCAGTGGGGAGCTGCCAGGTGGTACCAGGGGGCTGGGTGTCCTCGAGCCTGGAGGGGACAGGGGCTCCCGGGGAGGCACTCGGGGAGGGGAGGCAGGTCCAGGCCACCGGCCGGTCTCCTCCTCGCCTGAGGAGGCTGGAGACAAGTCGAGGTGCGGGCGCGTTGGCCGAGGGGGGATGGGCACCCTAGGGGGCACCTGGGGCTTGTCGTCACCCCCCGGGCTGGGGGAGGGGGCCGTGGATCCGGCCGGAACCTGCAGCTGCCGCATGCACTCCTGCTGCAGAGCCTGGAAGATCTCCTCGGTCTGCGCAGAGCTGGGCGGCTTGCCCCCACCCTGGGGCAGGAGGAACAGGTTGTCCTCCAGGGGAGGGGGCAGCCGTGCCTGTTCAGGCACAAAGGCGTAGTTGGTCTCGCCCTGGCTGGGTCCAGCAGGGACCCCTGTGCCCACCAGGCTGCTGTTGATGGAGCAGACCTCAAAGTCATCCTCATCCTGGGCCACATCGTCATAAGCAGGCGGGGGTGGCAGCGGGCGTGCGTCCCAGTCCACCACAGGCGTGGGATGCAGGGGCCGGGGCAGCGCCCTCGTGGGGCTCTGAGGCGGGGTCTTGTCTAGCAAAGAGCAGGCATCCATGGCCAGCTGCGCCAGGGAGGGTGTGTAGGGCCGCAGGGCCGGGACCACGGGCTCCTCACCGAAGTCGATGAGCGTGACCTCAGCCCCGCTGCCTCGGCCGGCCTTGGTGCCTGGCACCCTCGCTGAGGGCTTTGCCAGCCACAGCCCTCGGGGCAGGCCTGACTTCCGAAGGCCCAGCCTCTTGAAGTCACTGGACAGGGGGTCTTGGTCCTCGCTCACAGGGTCATAGGTTGGTTCTGTGATGGAAAGGAAGACCCCACCAGGTAGGCAGTCAGTCAGGGGCAGGGGCAGGGGAACACAGGGAGGTGGCACGTAGGAAACAAAGCCAAGTATCCCCCACCAACTCTCCACTCCCATTCCCCCCACCAACCCTCCATTCCCACCCCCCTCACCAACCCTCCATTCCCACTCCTCCCACGAACCCTCCATTTCCACTCTCCCCACCAACCCTCCACTCCCACTCCCTCCACCAACCCTCCATTCCCACTCCCCTCACCAATCCTCCACTCCCAACTCCCCCCACCAATCCTCCACTCCTACTCCTCCCACCAACCCTCCACTCCCACTCCCCCCACCAATCCTCCACTCCCGACTCCCCCCACCAATCCTCCACTCCCGACTCCCCCCACCAACCCTTCACTCTTAACTCCCCCTGAAGTCTGAGGTCCGCCCTTGGCTGCCAGATTCTCAGTGCACATCTGACCACTGGACCAGGAGGGCAGAACCTGAGTTGCCCGAAGCCCCGGGTGGCTGGTGAGCCCCACCTCCCTCCATCTGAGCTGGAGGAAGTGACACTCCTGCCTGATGCTTCCTCCATCAGCACAAGACCCCGGCAGCCCTGCCCTGGGCCCTGGTGAGTTAGTGAGCCCTCATCCCCGACCCCGTCATGGCACACCATTAGTGTAGGCACGGAGCCGTCTCCTGCCATCAGGGGCTATAGGAACTGTCCTTGGAGAGGACAGAGCTCCTGACCAACTGCCACGAAGCGCAGACAGCGCCTACAGGTCTGAGAGGGAGCGAGGCTGAGGCAGGAGCCAGGGTCACACTGCTGCTCCCAAGCGCAGGCTCTGGGAGGCACTACAGGCCAGGGCAGCCAGGGAAGCTCACAGCACACACCCTAATCCTCCCGCCCAGCCCCAGCTCTGTACCTTCCAGGAGAGGACTGAGAGAGAGGGGGCGGGGGCGGGGGCCAAGGCATCGGGAGCAGCCCCACTTACTCTGAGTGAAGAAGGCAGGCTGAGGTGGGCGAGGTGGAGGCTCCCCTGCAAGAAAGGCCATGCAGAAAGGGGAGACAGACGGAGCAGGACAGAGGACAAAGGAGGGAGTCGGTGGATGAGAGGGCAGAGTGTGGAGAGGAGGGAGGGAGAGAAGTGGAGGGGCGAGTGAACGTATAAGCCCCCAGCAAATGGGAGGCCTCGGGGTGGCAGGATGAGGAACACACGGTCTGGTGTGTCAGGCACAGGACTGGGAAATGGAGGAGGCTCCAGGCAGAGCCGGAGCCATGGCATGGCTTTGGCTTGGGACAGGAGAGCAGGATTAGGGGAAGTGAGGAAAGCCAGGATCTGAGCTAGGCCTTGAGGAAGGAGGGAGGAGGGATGCCGGGGTGGGTGGGGCCCAGCCTGAGGAGGCCCACCTCGGCGGATACAGCTGCCTCTGTCTTCCACCCCACGCCCAGCCGGAGCCAGGGACACAGCTGTCCCGCCTGCTGCCCTGACCCCACTGTCCCCAGAGCCCGAACGGCAGGCTCAGGGTAGCCTGCAAAGACAGTGCCCTTCCTGAGTCACCAAGGGATTAGGGACACCAAGGGCAGAGGGGCTCTTACTTTTCACCCTTCCTAGATGCTGGGTGGGCCGGGAGGTGCTCAGTTCCACGCTCAGCAGGTCCGGGGGGTCCATGGGGTTTCCCAGATACAGCCTGTCGGGGAAAGAGCCAGGTCAGAGGGCAGGGAAAGGTGTGGAGGAAGGGCAGGAAACACCTCTGGTGGAAATGCTGGGCCTGTCCCCAGGGTCGGGCACAAAGTCCTGAGTGTGCCCAGGAGACCACCTCATCAGAGCCCCTACCTCCCAGAGGAACCTGGGTACAGACTTGGGTATGCAGCGCAGGCCTCCCGCCTCCCACGCCACAGATCCTGACCACAGATCTCAGCTGGAGCCAGAAGGCATCCTGGAGAGAGGGCAGAGAAAAGACACCGGACCCCCAGATGAAAAACCTAGGACTTCAGGGGCTCTGACTACCCTCTACAAGGACAGATGTGGTTTTCCACAACCCCCGGGGCCCCCAGCCCACACCAGGCAGCTTCTGGAGGGCACACACTGCTGTCTGCAGGCCATGCTGGGGCGCCTGAGAACAGGGCATCCCAGCTACAGTCCCCTGCCAGGGTGGGCAGGGGGTAACCTTCTGCCACATGGCCAGGAGGTGCAGGAGAGGCTGGGCCACCCGTCCTGCTCCCAAGTCATCCTCCATCCCTGTGCCAACTGTCAGTATCTGGGACATAGTTACTGGGGCTGATTAAAGCCCAGAGGAATGGGGTTAGACTGGCCATGGAGTGGGCAGAGGGCACCAGAGAGGGACAGAGGGAGCCAGGAGTGGGCAGAGGGCACCAGGAGTGGGCAGAAGATGCCAGGAGTGGGGCAGAGGATGCCAGAGTGGGGCAGAGGGCACCGGGAATGGGCAGAGGGTGCCAGGAGTGGGCAGAAGGCACCAGGAGTGGACAGAGGGTGCCAGGCCCCTCTCAGAGGTGCTTGCAGTCCTTCACTGCAGTTCCCAGGCTCTTGCCTGGTTCTTTTTAGGCAAAACACATGCGCTGGCCCCTGTGAGCTTGGGGCTCTGTGTGTGGGGGCCCGGTGGGTGAAGGCCCCTGCTTTCCACACCTCTCAGGGCAGACCAGAGTATCAGAAGTCAGCAGGAGAAGGGCTGCAGAGACCTAGGAATCCCTGTGTGGCCAACAGAGAGGCTCAGAGGCCTGGCAAAAGAAACTTCTGGGGGCTCCCTGGGGTGGGGCATCCAGGAAGTGACCAATTCTGTGTGTTCTTCCAAGACACTCCTCACTGGCCTCATCCTCCTATACAGGAGGCGGGCTCCCCCCAAAGTCCAGTGAGCTCTGCAGAGCTGTGCGGCTGGGAAGCTGAGCTGCCACCTAATGTTCCCTCCACAGGCCCCAGGGTTTCCAGTCCTGCCCCTGGTTCTGGGAAGCAGGCTCTCTCCCACATGGACCTGCGCACATTCCCAGGGCCCGACCCAGCAGGTTCACACCTCCAGGACTCTGGCACCACCAGCAGAAGGAAAACCGCTGCTCACATGCAGGGCTCACAGGAGAAGCTCCTCCTCAGAAGCTTCCACCAGGTTCCTCCCAAGTCCATTTCCTAAGGCCCAGGTGCCAGGAGGGGTTACAGTTGTGGCCCAGGGGGTTTTCTACCAGACAGGAGCCCCTCCTCACAAGCTCCTGACCCTACTTTCACTGACTTCTCTCGGGACCCCTGCATCTGAGTGGCACGTTCTGATTCAGAGTGCATTTATAACCCTCCCCTCATTGGTGGGGTGGACCCATTTCACAGATGAAGTCAGTCTCAGAGTTTGGAATTCAGCCCCCCGAAGCTTGAGAACAGCAGGGAAGTACTCCCCTGGCAAATCCCCACCAGGCTGGGCTTTCTAGGGCTCCACAGCCTCCAAGAGTAAGGCCAGAGGTCAGGAGGGGAGAGTGGCAGGTTCCGGCACTGGAGCCCGAGGGAAAGGGTAAAGAGCAGGTGGGGCCGCACGCCTGACACGCTGAGGGACCCGGAGTCCCACGAGGGGCCAGGTTGGTATCCCTGCCCGGTACTCACTCATCGATCCTGTCTGGGAAGCCCCAGCAGTGGCGGGGGTCGCTGTCACCATGCCCCGTGTGGATGAAGCTGTTCTGCAGGGGTTGGCTGATGTCCTGGGCGGACAGGCCAGCCACGGAGGTCACCACGTTGCGAGGGAAAGGCCCCACACACAGCGTCCGCGTGTTCTGACCACGCCACCAGTAGTTCTCGGCCCTGCCCGACAGAGATGGCACAGTGAACACCAGGCATGGTGGGGCAGCCCCAGCAGGGGTCCCTTCTCACACCCTGCCCATCTTGATAGAGCGGGGATGAGGTTCAGGCCTCAGGACCCAGCTGTCTGCCACCAGCCCTCCTCCCCCATAGCACCTGTGACCCACCATGCCCCGTACAGGCCTAACTGTTTGCACACAGCCTTACCCTCAACTCTGCAGGTGGGTCAGACAGCTTTCCCCACAGTTTACAAACAGGGAAGCACGCCGTGTGACTTGCCTCTGGTTACCAGAAAGATCCCAGCAGACTCAGGATGCAAACCCAAGCCCAGTCATCAGGTCTGCAGGGCCAGCGCCCCGCTCACACCTCCACCTTGCCCCTCAGCCCCCTGGCAAGGCCAGGGCCTCAGTCCTCTTCCGGCCACTCAATGTCACTCCTCAGCTGGGTTCCAGGAGTTCTGAGAGGGGCGGGGGTGCCAGGGACACCAAGGGTGGGGGCCCAGCCTCCAACTACGATCTGCCTCCCGAATGCAGACCTGAGTCTAAAGCACTCAGGGTACCTGAGGCCCTCTCTCCCCCACTTCGCCTGTTCCTACCACCTCCTGGCAGGCCTGCAGGAGCCTCCCTGTCTCCGCAGGAGGGGCTCTACTCATGTCTTAAAATGGAGTCCGGAAGGGAACTCTACTCCCGGAGTGACCAGACAGTGGGGCCGTCAGTCCCCCCAACCTCAGACATGAAACTGCTAAGCCAGGGCCTGGGGAGGGGCGGGGGCAGGCAGGGCAGGAAGCATGGGGCTCCTGCAAGACCCTCCCCACACCCAAAAACTCCCAAGTCTGCTGCTGGACTTGCTCATGCCTGACAACGTGGGCAGAGTCCAGGCAGGCGGGGGCAGTGACAGCCCTGTGCTGCTGGGGTGGACGCGTGTGGCACCACGCCACACGCCCTCACTGCCACCCGTTTCACCCGTCCCAGGGCCAAGGTGTGAAGAAGGCCTCCTCTGAAATGCAGGCAGGCTGAGGAGAGAGGATGGAGGAGGTGGCGATGCCTGAGCACCCAGACCCACAGCCCCGTGAGCTGATGAGGCTTATCTGCAGCAGTGGGACTCCAGTAGCCCATCCCAGACACCAGAGCCAAACCCGAGAGCACCCGGTCCCTGGGGAGGTACAGGGAGGTGGGGCTGCTCCTCTGGCCCAGCCTCCTCATACAAAAGGCCACTGGCCGGCCTCACACACAGCGACCCTGTGATTCCCACCCTGCCTGCAGCGGGGGAAGGAAGGAGAGAGGACAACATCCCAATAAGGGACAAGTCCCATCTGAAGAAGAACTGGGCCACTCCAAGGAGCAGAGCCACAGCTCCCTAGCACACACAGACAGCCTCCCATGGCGGCCTACAGGGGAGAACGCTGGCACTGGCCAGGCTGTCGCTCTCCCACAGCACCCACAGGCTCCCTGGAGGCTGCCCTGGGCGGGAGGCTGGACTCTGCTCTCCACACCTCTTCTGGGGCACTCATTCATTCACTGGGTAAGAATGCAGCTGGGGCGGAGCCCGTGCTCAGAGCAGCGTGACAAATGCCCAAGGCTGGGGCCGGCAGGAGGTCCCCTCCTCTGGCCTTTTCCTTCCACCAACACTGCCGAGCTCCTGGCACAGAAGCCTCCTTTGGGACCCACTTCTGAGAGGGAAAGGAGACACCAAGCCCACCCTCCCTTAGTACAAGTATGGCCGAGGCAAGAGCCCCCGTGGCCGCTGGGGTCCTGACACCACTCTGTAAAACATGCTTGCTCCTGGGGGAAGGAGAGTACCAGTGCAGAGGATGTATCCAAGAAGGACCCACGTGGTGTCACACCCAAGCACGTTGGAACTTCCACGGTGACCAGTGTCGCCTCTCACAGCCCACACAGACCTGAGTGAGCAGCAGCCCAGAGAGGACTGAGGCCAGCCCTTTCTGCCAGGCCCGCCCTGGCTGTGCCCTCTCCCCCGACCATGAACAGGCCAGAGTCTCCAGAGCCGTGGGAGGGCCAGGAGCCATCTGGCAGCGACTGAAGCAGAGCTAGACGAGGAGTTCCTGGGGGAGGAGGAAAAGGGCCCAGCACCCCCGCAGGAACCTTCCACCTCCTGCTGCCGCCCTCAGGCCTCCGGTCAGCCTCTCCAGGGCGGACAAGATAGAAAACGAGGCCTGCGCTGAGAACCGCCTGAGGCTGCCCAGCTCCAGAATCTCAGCACCTTGTTCCAGTCCCAGCCCCAGGGAGTCTAGAAATGGCTCAACCAAGGCCAAACATTCTGCTTAAAACGCCCGCCTGCTCTTCTCTCTGGAGGTCCCAGGCCCAGGCTTGGCGGGATAACCTGGATGCTTGGCTCCCACCTACCACTGGAAGCTGAGGCTCCCGGGCGAGACCAGGCCAAGGACCTGAAATGAATTTCAGCACCTCTGTGCCTGCTGCACACATTCTGCATGCGGAACAAAAGTGCTGCCAGCCATCCTTTCCTCCAAATGAGTCCCTGGGAAATACCAGGAATCATTTGTCTCTCCAAATGTAGACAGAGCACGAAATATCTAGGTGTCTTCCCTCTGCCCTCGGCCTGGCACCCTGAGAAGCACTGAACATAGTCAGTCGAAGCTGGGGCAGGTGGCCTCCCAGACTCTCGACCAGGAAACAAATACTGGAGACAGCCTCAAAAGCGGGAATCCATGGCCAAGAGAAGGCCAGGCCAGGAGGGAGGCCCAAACCCAGAGACGCACATGTGCAAACCCAGGCCCAAGACAGAGCCATCCGCCCGTAGACATGGAGACGGAGGCAGACAAACAACACGGAGACATTCAGGGACCGAGCAAACAAGGGGGCAGAGTCGAGCTCTCTACCGCCAACACCTAGGCCCGCTCCCAAGCCTCACCGGCTGTCGTGGCCTCCTGTCCCTCACCTCCCACCTCCTGAGCAGCTCCAGGGACTGAGGGCAGGTGCTGTGGTCCGAGCCAGGGCTGGTGGCTGGAGGAAGGGGCCAGAGAGCCCCAGGAGCAGCAGCCACAGGGAACCAGAGCTGGGGCCAATGGAAGCCTGCGACAGAAGAGCGGGCCGCACCCACGACCCTCCCGGGAGCAGCCCCTCCTGGCCCCTCCACCTGCCCACCTTGCTCGGCAGTGACCCCAAGCACTAGCTCCAGAGATACATGCCCCAAACACAGGCCACTCTGAGTCACCCCAGGGACACTGGCAGGCACATGGGCTCTCACTGAGAGCCAGGGAAGCGGGCGGTAAAGGTCTGGGGCCCTGGCAGCAGCACAAGGGGGGCTGGGCCCACGGCTCTCTGGTTCATGGGGGCGAACGTGGCCGTGGGCCTGGACTTTGGACTGGAGGCCCTTCCAGGTAACTGCAGGGGACCCCCACCCTTAATCTTCCTATTTCTAGAATGCGCCCCAGAGTGCCATGCTTGCCATCCCATCCCTGGCACCTGAGCTCCAAACCTGCAGACTGTGTGCCTCCTCTCCCCAGGCCTCTCTTTCTAGAACCTTCTGCTTCCTTCCCCCCACAACATGCCCAACCACAGGCCCCGCAGTCTGTCCATATGTCAGACTGTTCTGACATACGTTCTGTTCATCCCTGGCACCTCAGCTCCAAACCTGCAGCCTGTGTGCCTCCTCTCCCCAGGCCTCTCTTTCTAGAATCTTCTGCTTTCTTCCCCCTACAACAGCCCTAACCACAGGCCCCACAGTCTGTCCGTACGTCAGACTGTTCTGGCATATTCCTGTTCCCAGACCCTGGGCCCGAGGGTGAGGGAGCCAGGCCTGGGAAGGCTCACGGTGTGGGGGTCACAGCGCTGCAGTCCACCCTCCACACAGCCTGCCTCAGACCTCGAGGCTCTCCTCCACCCATCCACAAGAGGCACAGGATTTCATCAAAGGCTACGGACCCTCAAACCTGCAGTGCAGGTGGAGGAGGCTCCCTGGGAAGCACCCCCAGCCCTAACCCTGCCTGGCTCTGAGTCACAGGAGCTAGAGCACAGGGAATTTCTTCCTGGTCCTCAACACCCCCCACTGCCTCAAAGGCACCTCAGACCTGCCCTGGGGATCAGATAGCGGAAGGCAGGGCCAGCAGTGGGTGAGCCCTCAAGGAGAAGACAGAGGTTTCGGGAGGAGAGTTAAGAGAGAGGGTCCCCCACAAGGGAGATGGGAAGAGAGGGGCAGAGGCCGGAGGCGGGCCTGGGAGGGGGTGATGGGCTCAGCAGGAAAGATGGAAAGCTGGCAAGAGGGCAGGCTGGGCTGCTTCAGCTACTGAAAGGCACCCGGGTACAGAGTTGAGTCCTTATGTCAGGGAGAAGCGGGGAGAGAAGCAGGGAGGACCAGAGGAGGATACTCGGGAGTCCCTGAGCTCCACTGCAGCCCTGAGGCCAGGCCAGGCCACCCAACCCCTCCATCAAGGCAGCCTGGCCCAATCACACAGCCAGGGCTGGAACCCATGGAAAAGGGTGGTAGGAGGAAGCTGGCAGGGAAGGGCACTAAGGAGACCCAGCCAGGCCTGTCCCCTCCTCACGTTGCAGGGTTCAGGCCCAACTGCCAGCCTGTGTGTGGCCAAAGTGGTTTGTCCACAGGCCCCTTGGACCTGTGCCCTTCAAGACATCCCTACCTTCCCTCGATGACAGTGATGACGTCATTCATCTGGATGTGCAGCTTGTCCGGCTCCTCAAAGTCCTGAAGGGCCCGCATGTCAGTGGGATGGGCCTGGGGGGAGAGAAAGGTCATAGCCAGCTCTGGAGCTGACCCCTGGATGGCCCCTCAGCTCTCCTGGGCTGCCCTGTCCCTCACCTCCAGCAGGAAGTCCCGCAGAGCCACAAACGTAGGTCTGTCCTCTGGCTTGTGAGCCCAGCACTGGACCATGACATTGTAGATGTCCTGGGGGCAGTCCTCGGGCCGAGGCAGCCGCTCCCCCTCCTTGTCAATCTTATGCAGGATCTGATGGTGGGAGGCGTAGAGGGTGAGGACCCATGGAGTACCCAGCCCTTCCCTTCCTGCCCTTCCTCCGGCCCCTCCTCAGCTGCAGCTGCTGCCACCATGCCTGGCCTCAGAAGGGATCTGCCTGCCTGGGAGGGGCCCTCTCCAGAGCCCTTGACCCTTCTTCCCAGGTCTGGGCCTCAGCATGAGTGGCTGTGGCAAGGGCTGGAGGATAAGGGCAGGCCCCAGGTCTTCTCTCCCCAGCCTAGTGCATCCCAGTCTCTGCTGGGTGCTCCCCGAGAGGCCATACAGATATGGGGCCTGGGAGAAGGGAGTCCCTCAGATGAGAGCCAGCTCCAGCAGGCCAGGCTGCAAACTCAGGGTGGAATTTACCCCCTCTATGAGGCCCGTCTCTCAGCCCTCACCTGACTGCCATTGAGGCCGATCCAGGGCTCCTGGCCGTAGGTGAACATCTCCCACAGTGTCACCCCGAACATCCAGGTGTCGCTGGCATGGGAGAAGGTACGTGTCTTCAGGCTCTCAGGGGCACACCTGGTAGAGGCAGGGGTCACAGAGAAGCCCTCTCAAACAACCCCACTGCATCCGCCCCAGGGACGTCAAACGCTCATTCAGCAAACATCTGTTTGACCCCCAGTGCCAGGTTCAACAGTGGGTCTCAGGGATGCGTGTGAAGTGGGTGGGGGCAGGACTCCTGGACTACACGGTACACCGACTTGGGAAAGATGGTCTACGCTCAGGCCTCTTATTCACAAGCAGCCTGGCGTAGGAAGAGGAGGGGACATTTCCCAGCCAGAGAAGCAGGGAGAGAAAGGAGGTCAGAGGCTGCAGGACAGGGCAGGAGAAGATCACAGGCTGCTTTCTGACCGTGGTGGGAGGATGACAGTTCCCAGATTTGGGGCGGGATCCTGGGATTTGGATCCTTCACCAGAAAGGTGTGGGTGGGAAATTCAGATAGGGCAAGGGCAAGAACCAAAATGTGTGGAAACAGTCACGTTGGCTTCACCCAAATACAGTCATTTGCTCTGGGCAGTCCCCGGGTGAGGTCAGAAACGGCCATCCCAACGTGGACTGAGGTGCAGATGGAAGGGTGCTATCCTAGACATGGAGCCCCCCCGCCCCGAGGCAGATAGGACCTGGGAAAGCCACTCAAGGTTCCAAGGCTCCTTCTCCTCATCTGTGAAATGAGAACAGTTTAAGTGCCCACTTCACAGTGTTGTTTAAAGGCACTGCATTAACAAATTACCATTCAAACCAGGATGCCTGAATGCAAAAGAGGCTGCTATAACTTACTACTCCAGGACTATAGGCATAATGCTCACCCTGGGTGTAGAGCCAGCTGCTGGTTAAGATGACCGTATGTCCTGGAATATAAGGTTGCCCACAGCCACCAATCTGGCAAGCAGGACTGGACCAACCCTTCCTGCCCCAAAGCAGGGAGATCAGAGTCCTTTGTGCCTCTGGCACCAGAAGACAGCAATGGTCTCGGCACAGGGTAAGCCCACACAAGGGTCAGGCCAGTGCCAGTTGAGCAGCCCTGGTCTGTCTGCAAGGTCTGGTGTGGCCTGGGCCTGTCTACCACTAGCTCTACCTAGAACATGCTCACAACAAGTCTTTCCCTGGCTGGCTGCCCCTGCCATTTCAGGAGCTTACCACAAGAAGCCTCTGAACACCCACTGAGCAATGCCCTGGATGCGACGAACAGACTCATCCTGTGCTTCCCAGCACCCAGAGACCCTGGCACATGGGCCCTCGAGAATTCCTAGATGGATGGTGAGTGAATGGGGGCAAAGGAGGGTGCCCTGGGCTCAGAATAGACAAGGGCAGGCCCAAGCAAAACCCAGGGCTGTGGTGGGTCAAGAAAGCCCCAGAAACTTTGAGGCCTGGGTCTGCAGGGACCAGCGTGGGGTTGGACTCCGAGCTGGCAGCACCTGCCCCTCACCAGGCGAAGGGCACCTTGCGATGTTCCTGCATGACGTAATGGTCGTCATTCTGGGGCAGCGCTCGCATCAGCCCAAAGTCCCCGATCTTGACCAGGTCGCGGGTAGCCAACAGCAGATTGCGGGCAGCCAGGTCACGGTGAATAAAGCGCTTGGACTCCAGGTAGCCCATGCCCTCAGCCACCTGCACAGCGTAGCGGCTCAGAGTCCCCAGGAGGAAGTGGCCCTGGTGCTTACGTAGCCGGTCCAACAGCGATCCCAGAGGTGCCAGCTCTGTCACCTGAGGCCACGGAGGAGGCAGGAGGAGTGAGCCTGGACGACCCTGCCCCTTCTCGGCACCCCATGCTGGGCTCCCAGCCCCCTTCCTGAAGGCTTTCCAGAGCGAGGCTACATGCTCCTTCCTGGCCTGTCGCCTGGGGACCTGTAGGAGTCCTACAGTCTCTCAGGCCGCTCCCTCCAGAAAATGTGGGAAACTGACACCCAGAGAGGAGGAGCCCAAAGAGGCAATGGTTAGAAATTCCAAAAACTGGCCGGGCCTGGCTCACACCTGTGATCCCAGCACTTTGGGAGGCTGAGGCAGGTGGGTCATTTGAGGTCCAGAGTTTAGGACTAGCCTGGCCAACATGGTGGAACCCCATCTCTACTAAAAATATAAAAATTAGCCAGGTGTGGTGGCACACAGCTGTAATCCCAGCTACTTGGGAGCCTGAGGCAGGAAAATTGGTTGAACCCACGAGGCAGAGGTTGCGGTGAGCTGAGATTATTGCACCCCGGCCTGGGCAACAAAGCAGGACTCGGTCTCAAAATAAATAAATAAATAAAATACAAATTACCAAAATTAAACTCAATGGCCAGCCCCTCCCATGGGAGTAACTTTCTGACAATGAGCACCAGCAAAATACAGAGACAAACTGGACTGCAGCAGACACAGTCAGTACCAGGTGGGGCCTGTGAACCCCATTATTCCATCAGGTGGGGGGACAACGTGGATCTAGGGCGCCTCCGCCCTTAGTCAGGACAGAGACAGCACCAAGCACACATCTGGGGAGCAGAGCCCTCTCCGGCCCGGCCCCTCTTCCCCGCAGCACTCACCATCTTCATGGGTGGTATGAGCACCACCCCATAGAGGCGAATGAGGTTTCGGTGGTCCAGCGAGTGCATGGCGTTGACCTCCCGGATGAAGTCGTCCATGGCTTCTGGCTGGCTCAGCACATCGGGCTTCAGGCACTTCACAGCCACACTCACCTGTCCAGAGCGGGGTTTGCAAGGACTCAGGACTCGCCAGGTCTTGGACACCCAGAGCCAACCTGCTCTACCCTCCAGCTCGGCTCAGCGATCCCTGCCTCCCCACTGCTCCTCTGGGTGGGTGAGCGCGTCACCAGCGCTCTGCCTGAGGATTGGCTACAGCAGGGCAGCTGGCTGGCCCTCAGGAGCCATCGTGGGCCGGGCGCTCCCTTCCTGGGGGAATACCCAGCTTAAATACCAAGTGAAAAGTAAGAGATGACCAGCTTGAGGAGAGAATGCCAACACGTTATAAAATGGAATGTTAAAAGGTGCTTCGGTGTAGCAGGAAAATGCTTTAAATGTAATGCCAAAAACAAACTGGTGGTGCTACAAGCTGGCACCGTGGCTTCCCTTGGAAGGAGGGCACACTGAGTTGCAGAGGCAGGAGGGAGCCTTCTGAGGTGCCTGCATATGAGAGTCACAGCGGAATTGTATGCTGTGGTGCACACATGCTACCCCTGAAGGGAAACATTTTAAATAAAATGCCAAGAGAAAGAACAAGATTTTAAAAGCTGTATCTAAAATTTGTATCTTAACTAAATCCAACAAAATGCCTAAGGTGAAAGGAAGAGGCAGAAATGCTAACTCTGTTTCCTGAGTGGTGGGATTACAGGCATTTTTTTTTTCTTATTTTTCAAATAGTTTCCAAACTTTTATAACAAGTAAATTATTTTTATAACTGAAATAACAAATGTGCTTAGTTAAATCTGAGCATGGTCTGGGTGCCATGGCCTATAATCCTAGCACTTTGGGTAGCTGAGGTGGGCAGATCACTTGAGGTCAGTAGCTCAAGACCAGCCTGGCCAACATGGTGAAACCCCGTCTCTACTAAAAATACAAAAAATAGCCAGGTGTGGTGGTGCATACCTATAGACTCAGGTACGAAAGAGGCTGAGGCAGGAGGATCACCTGAACCAGCAGGCAGAGGCTGCAGTGAGCCGATTATGCCACTGCACTCCAGCCTGGGAGACAGAGCGAGACTCTGTCTCAAAAATAAATAAATAAAAACCAAAAACCCTAAGCATGGACTCTGGGATGAGCCACTCCGTGCCATGTCCCCAGTCCCAGTCACATCCTGGTTGGGGGCAGAAGAGTCACCAGCAGCCTCAGATCCCATGCCTCTACTGCACTGGCAGGACAGAGAACTTACCGTCTTCCCTGAGGGCGCGTCCCACTCGCCTCTGCGCACAACGCCAAAAGAGCCATCGCCCAGCTTCTCCAGGAGGCGCAGGTCCTTCTCCCCAATGAGGCAGGTGAGGCTCTGCAGGGGCCCCTCCCCTGCTGGGACCCCAGGGATGGGCGAGGTCTTCCGGAAGGTGCTCTGAGAGTGTTGAGGGGGGAACTCAGCCTCTGGTCGCTTTCCACTGAACACCTGTTTGAAGGCAGCCAGGGGCCAGATGGAACCCAATGTCCCCAGGTCAATCACTCAGTCCCACCCCACTGGGTCTACTTGGTGATCCCTGGCTCAGCTTCCAGAGAGGTCCTGGCTTTGCCAAACTGTCAGCGGGGCATCCTGGCTGGAGGCCCACACTCCTTCTAGGGCACACCTCCAATACAAACCCAAAGCCTGAGGGTGGCTTCAAGGTGGGTGCTAGAAAAAGACTGACAGGCATGCAGCCTGTGGCCCCACACCCAGCTGTGGGGACAGGGAGAGTCCAAAGCCCTCCAGGCACCACCCACCTGAGGTCTGAGTCTCCTCCCAGTCCTGCCCCACCCCTCCCTTCCTGCACCCGTGCCCAGCACAGACTCCAGCCCTAGCCCGGGTAGATGGGGCAGGAGCCACAGGGACCCTCCACAGACACCTCCTTGTCCATTTTTAGCCCTGGCCCCTTCTCTGGGCTGACCATTTGGTGCTGTCTGTCTCCACCCTCCCCAGGGAGTCGGCTGCCCTTCATCCCCTGGCTGCCCAGGGGAGAGGATAATTTTAGTCTGAGGTTGAACCATGAGTGTGTGTGTGTGGTTCAGATGAAGCTAGTCCTTGCTGGGGAAGGGCCTGGGAAGACAGCTGGGTTTCTGGAGGGGTGCCTAGAGCTGAGGGCTGAGAGAGAAGGAAGAGTGGAGGAGACTCTGAGGCCAGGGTGGACAGGGAGAGGGCCAAAGATCAAGGGACTGGAAAAAGGAGGCCGTGAGGGTCAAAGCTGGCCATATCAGTCTGACGTGGCCATCTCCACCGAGGCACCCATAGCCTTGGCTCCAGGCTGCAAATTCTTGCCAGTTTGGTGGAGCCTGATCTCTACGGGCTAGGGTGCCTTAAATCTGAGTGCCTCTTCTGGCCTCTGCCCTGTACCTCCTCCCAGTAATTAGAATTCCTTTTGTTTGCAAGCAATGTTCAGGTTACAGGACCTTTCACAGCCATTATCTCAGGTGCCTCCCAAAGCCCCGAGGTGAGCTGGGTAGTGGGGCTGGCATCCTTCCACTGAAGACACGACGGAAGTCTGGAGAGGCCACTGACTGCCCAGGGACCTGTCAGGAGCCAGTGGCAGATCCAAGACCCCTAAATCTTGGCAAACCACCATGCTCTTCTCCTGCCTTCGCCAGCCCCAACGCAACTCATCCTTCCCTAAAACCTGGGCAAGGGACCAGGACAGTGTTCCCAGAAAAAGCCACAGGATCCCAAGAGACAGCCCCTTTGCTGGAGTGCAGCAAGGAAATCTCTGCTGCCCAATCCCAGTCTAGCTGTTTGACCCTACCCACCCCCCACCCCATCCCTGAGGCCAGAAGTGGGGAGGGAAGGCCACGGCTGGCTCACTTCCTCTCTCATTGTCTTCCAGACAATGGGCAAAGTTCCACTGAGTCAGACCAGGGACTTACTACACCACAGACCCAAATTAGGCCAAGGTGTGGGGAGAGGTCAGGACAGGCTATGGGGAAGGAAGCTGTCAGCAGGGCCAGATGACCAGAGAAAACACAGAGATTAGAGAGGGTTGGGGAGAAGGGAAGCCAAGCCAAGATGTCCTGGGTCCAGACAGGTCCAGCACCCCACGCCAGACACCGGCCCCAGCACTCAGACACAGCAAAGCTAAGTTAAGGCTCACTTGTCAACGAGCTCCTGTTCCAGGCCAGGACGCCCTCCCCACACACAGGCTGCTCCCGTGTCCGTATCTGGCGGAGACAGACACTCAGCCCGACAGCTATGCAAGTGCCCTGCCCGATAAGAGCCTGGAGAAGGAGGGTCTGTACAAAGGACTCTACCTTCAGGGGGCTGAGGGGAAGGTTCCTAGTACAGGAACAGAGCGGGGCGCTAGAGTCTATCCTCACCTACCTTGCTCATCCACGACTTCCGTTTGCATAAGGCCTTCCTCCTCTTCACGGCCTCCCACAGCCGCCGCTGGCCTGCAGGGAGGATGGGGAACCCAGTGCTGTTAAGGCAGCTCAAGCCCCCGGAGAGGCTGCTGGCTGCGGTCCCCCTGGGGGTGAGTCCAGCACTAGACACGGCCAGCAGTGATACCGATGAAATCGATCCCAACTGCCCAGGAGCCTCAAGTGCCCAGACGGCCACTGCACTCCAGGCACTGGCTCTCAGACTGGGTGGAGGGCTGTAGCCAAAACGTGGTCTGCTCCCAGCTCTCAGGACAAGGCAAGGTGCTGAACAGAATCTTCTCAGTGTGGAGGCTTTTTCCCTCCATAACATTCTCTGATGCTACTGGCATCAGACACCAACTATCCAGGCCAAAAGTAGCATAAATCAATGTCTAATTTAGCACATTATTACCTATTTATAGCAATTTTAAGTTGAAAGCCCTAATATGTTTCTAATGTTCTATGAAGAACATTATAACTTTTAGATGCTACAACCCCTACTTTTAGAATACCGTTGAGCTCAAATTAGAGCAAACCTGTGTGTGTGTGTATCTGCGAGTGCGTGAGCCCCAGTGTGAATGTATCAGCAAACCACCTGAGAGTCGTTCTCCCTACAGATACTGGACATGGACCCCCTGGTCTTCAGAATGGAGCAGAACAGACTCGATTTCATGCTTATGAAGGAGGCGGCGATGGAGGAAGTACGTCCTCTGTGAGAACAGAGCGGGGTCTGTGGTGGCCCCTGTGTAGCCAGGGTTTTAGGGAAGGCCTCACTCTCCTCAAACTCGATTCACCTTTACAACGACCAGCTGTTCTCCACACATAAGCATCTACTGATGTCCATCATGCTCTACCTCAGGGTGCTGGGACAGAGAGAGGTCTCAGCCGCCACCCACCATTCAGTGGTCCTGAGGACAGAGGATGGAAACGGTCAGAACCAAGACAAGCCAGGCCAAAGTCCCACCTACCAGGCCGGCCCATGCCAATCTTCTCCAGGTCCTCATTCTTGACATACTCAAAGTGGGACAGCCGGGTGACGTTGAGGTCGTCTCGGAGCCGCAGGAAGTACTGTTGCAGCTGCACCTCGGACAGCAGCTCCAGCAGCCAGCCTGTGCCCTCCTCTGGCTGCATGCTGCCGCCTCCGAGCCTCTGTGGGGAGGGAAGAGTGGATCAGGGACAAGGGGTGCGGGGGGAAAACAGGGGGCCTGCCCCTGCATGACCTGGGCTCCCCTACACCCCAACACACTGCTACCTTCTGCTCCCAAGAGAAGCTACAGAGAACCACCTGGACCCACTTTCCCCATTCCTGCCAGCCACAGGGCACAGTTAAGCCAGTGGAGACACAGCCCTGGCCCTGGAGTCAGAAGTTAGTCTTGATCCTGCAATCTGTGATCCGTGGCTGAGTGGCCCAAGATCAACCTATCTGTGCTCACTTCCTCACCTGCTCTAAGTCTCCAGTGGTCAAAAGCCCTTGAAAATCTTTTTTTTTGAGATGGAGTCTCCTTCTGTTGCCAGGCTAGAGTGCAGTGGCACAATCTCAGCTCACTGCAACCTCCAACTCCCTGGTTCAAGCAATTCTCCTGCCTTAGCCTCCCGAGTAGCCGGGATTACAGGCGCGTGCCACCATGCCCAGCTAATTTTTGTATTTTTTAGTAGGGACAGGGTTTTACCATGGTGGCCAGGATGGTCTCAATCTCTTGACCTTGTGACCTGCCTGCCTCACCTCCCAGAGTGCTGGGATTACAGGTGTGAGCCACCATGCCTGGCCGAAAATCTTTTAAAAGCTCTCCAGGAAAATAGATGTGTTCTTACTCCTAACATTTCAATAACAATCTTTGCAGGGTGCAGTGTCCCTTGAGACCCAAGTATGGGCTCCTCAAATGTGACAGACTCCACAGAAAAATCTAAGGACCAGATGAGCCCTAGGCTAAGTTCCTCCCGCAGCCTCTCCTAACAATCCAGAGACCACTCCACAGGCCCCCACCCAGGTGCCTACAGGGCCGCAGCAAGCAGAAGACAGAGGGAGGGCGGGGACTGGGGTGGGCTTGCAGACCCCCATCTACAGGGGGCTCAGATCCCATCAATTGTCACAAGAGACCGTGGTCCAGTGTCATCAAACATTTCCATTTTTTCAAGAAATAAAACGCGAAATCTCAGTACTACCATTTTTTTTGGAAAAGGTAATATATGCACATGGTGAAATATTCAGAAGGCACACTGGGCCATCAAGTCTCATTCCCTCCCCCGCTGCACAGCCACCCGCTCCCCAGTAGCTGCCAATGATGCCTTCTGCAGACCCTTTCAGACTCTGCTGTCCCTACACAAATATTCATGCGTTCACCATACCATTCTGTTCCTTGATTTCATTTTCCATCTTTCTCCTGACTTCTGAACAACGCTGAAGAGTTCAGATTTGAAACACACACATATGCACACCCACACACATGCAGACACAGAGGAGCGGATGCCTCCAGGTGAGCAACCTCTGACCTATACTCTCCTAGGCCCGGAGAAGGAAGCTGGTGGCACCTTCAAAGCTAAGCAAGTGGAGCCACCACACAGCAAACCCTCCCATCAGAGTAAGAAATGTCAGAGCTGAGAGCTTGGCCAGGCCAGCCCCTGACCCATGCTCAATCCCTAGAGAGGAAAACAGGCAAGAGAAAAAAGGCCAGCTGCCCAGCTGGGGGCCAAGCCATCCCCCTCCCCAACTCGGTGGTGGCCTCCTCCCCAGCTCTCATCAGAGTGAGAAGCACTTGAGAAGCAGGCACACACAGACTGGCCCAGCATGAGCCTCCTGCCCCCACAGTTCCCAGTGGCCCTGCCAACACAGTGCCAGTCCAGACTTTCTCAGGCAGCTCAGGGAAGTACAAAGAGTAACAAATGGGAATGAGAAACCCTCAGTTCAAATCCTGGCTCTTCCACCACGGTGACCGGGCCAGGCAGCTGGGCCAGCCGGGTGGTTTCCAAACTTTAAGCTGTAACCCTTTATTTGAATGGTTCTCATGAGGGCTGCACAGCAGCCTATGGCATATTTGTGATCATCACAATGTTTGGGGGGACTTAGTGACGCTGAGTGGGTGGCTGGGGGACAAGAACATGAGCTCTGCTGCATAGAGCATTCTCGCACTGTTCCAAATCCCACCCAGCTCAATCATGAAGGTGCTTATGGTCACCCAAACCTAGACTCTGATCCCACTCAACAGGAAAATACTTTTATAGTTTTTTGTTTGTTTTCTGGGGACACAGTCTCACTCCGTCACCCAGGCTGGAGTGCAATGGTACAATCTCGGCCCACTGTAACCTCTGCTTACCAGGGTCACACAATCCTCCTGCCTCAGCCTCCCATAGCTGGGATTACAGGCACCTGCCATCACGCCTGGCTAATTTTTGTATTCTTAGTAGAGACCGGGTTCCTCCACATTGACCAGGCTGGTCTCGAACTCCCTACCTCAAGTGATTTGCCCTCCTCGGCCTTCCAAAGTGCTGGGATTACAGGCGTGAGCCACTGCACCCGGCCTTACCATTTTAATATGCACGAAATTTTCCAGGAATGAAACTACTTTGCAGACTTGTTCAGAACATAGCAGAAGTCCACTGTTTACAAAAATCTCAGTGAAGCAACCCCCTCTCATTATTTCCAAACTCCCTCTCAGCCAGCACTTGCAGATGCTGCCTTCACGGTGTTTCCACCTGAGGTCTCAGGATCTGACTCCTTCACTATGTCGTCTAGGTTACTGACGTGTTAGGACACATGCAATATGATACTTTCCCGCTTCTTATGTCTCTTTATATTGCGGTTCCCATTGTGTTGCTTGTTTCACTGTACACAGGTTAACAGGTTATATAAGAGATTATATTTCTATTAATTTTATTTAACAAGAGTAACAATAAAAATAACATCTAGGCTGAGTGTGGTGGCTCACACCTGTAATCCCAGCACTTTGGGAGGCCAAGGTGGGCGGATCTCCTGAGTTCCAGACCAGCCTGACCAACATGGAGAAACCTGGAATCACTTGAACCCGGGAGGTAGAGGCTGCATTGAGCTGAGATGGCGTCGTTGCACTCCAGCCTGGGAAACAACAGTGAAATTCCATCTCAAAAAAGCAAAAATATCTAACACTTAAACTCCACTTACTATATTCGAGAAACAATTCTAAGTATTAAGCTGTATTAATTAGTTCATCCTCAACAAAATCATCTGTTTACAAAAACACAGGTGTGGGGTTAAGAGGGCGAGGCACCACCACTTTCAGGAAGCAAGTGCAGAGGCACGCTGAAGGCACTGGCCTAGGCAGCGTCTCCCCTCGGCCTGGCCACTGCTGCCCTGTCCCTGGACAAAGTGGCCCCACTCCTAGAGGGCTCAGCCTCAGGACAGGGGCTCCTAGTCTCCAGGAGGCCAAGCAGTCTCCAGGCCCCTCTTCTTCCTCCTACCACCAGCTCCCAAGGATCCAGGCCCCTTCCTCTAGGCTCCAGAAAACAGCTCAAAGCCATGCACTGGGTGGCCAGGGCTGGGGGAGACCAGAGGCCCCTCTCCTGAAGCTCTTCAGAAAGCACAGCCCGGCCTGTTCCTTCTGCCTGAAACACCAGCTCCGCTCAGCTGTGCACTCCCCTCCCTGCTCCCTGACCCAAGAACAGCACTGCTCTGCACAAGGATGTGTGTGGGAAGACCGGGAAGACCACCGGGACCGTGGTGAGGGGAGAGTCAGGGTCTCAGTCCTGCCTCTCCTGCTGAGTCCAGGGTCTCTGCACAGGTCCCCTCCCCTCTCTGAGTCCCCTCCAGCTCAAGTTTCTTTGTGCGCCCAGAGCATGGCCGCAGCTCCTCCTGAGCTCAGACCCTCTCTAATTCTGCACAAGCCTGGCCCCAGCACCTCATGGAGTCTGCACACCTGTGCCCATGGCTGGCATGCAAACACACAGGCCAGCACAGGGGAGGCCACTTGTCCCAGATGCCCCCGTCAACCCCTCACTGGAGGGTCCCAAAGCCGCTCCCAGTCTTGCTCTCTGCCTCTCAGGCAAGAGCTGGTGCTGAGGAGCCCACCGAGTCCCCAGCAGTCCAGCCCCTGCCCCCCACTCACTGTGTACAGGCGTCGCCGCAGTCTGGCCAGGAGAGGGAAGGAGAGCTCCAGGCCAGGGAACCGACGTGCCGCCGGCATCTCCACAGAGCTGGACCCCCTGAGTGGGCACTGGGGGTCTGGCCCCGGAAGCAGGTGAGCAGGGGCCTCAGCTCCTGAGCTTCACACTCTGCCCAGAAGGGGAATTGGCCAGGGGTCTGTCCCAGGAGTCCCCCAATCCCACACCGAGGGTGGGAAATGAGGAAGAACAGGGTGGGCCCCTCTGCTTTGCTGCAAGCTGGGCTGGGTTTCCACAGCTGGCCAGTCTGGCAGGGGGCTAATAGCTCTCCTCCCACTGGCTGCAGCCCGGGGCCTCTGTCCTCTTTCTGTCTTCTCTCCAGGGCAGTGGTCACAGTCCAGCCCTACTCCCTGGCTTCCCCGCCCGCCCGCCCTCCCTCTTGCCTCCCTCCCTCCCTCCCCAGCTGAGCAGCTCTGACACTGGCTGAAAAAGGACCTTTCTGAATCACTGCCAAGAGGGCGGCAGGAATGGGGGGGACTCTTCCTCCCAGCCACCCGCGCTGGCCCCCCTGCCTCCCCATACACAAGGCCCCCTGTCTCTGGCCTCTACCCCAGTCACAGTTGGAGACAACTCCTAGGATTTTTGGGTGGGGGCTATATGGCTCAAACAGCATGTACGAAGAGGGGCTGTGGACCCACACACAGGCCTGCGTGGGGAGGTGGGGACTAGCACACAGCCTGAGTGGGAGGCTTGGGCCCCAGAGGCTCTGCTGGGCCCCGAAGACAGACTCTCAGAGACCCTCCCCCACGCCCCAGTCCCAGCCTTGGCTGGGCGTCTCCTGGCTCAGACCCTGATGTGGCCCTGTTACCCTGGTGCCTGACGGAAATAGGAGGCCGGCAGCCTGCCAGAGTGGGGCAGACCAGCCAACAGCAAGGGTAGGGTGGGGGCGAGGATCTCCACCCCTCCCCCGGGGGTTGCCTTGTCTGCTGCCCAAACACTCAGGATGCCTCCTATCCAGACCAGGTGGCCAAGTGGCCAGACCCCTCAAAACAACAAATATGCCCTGAGAGTCCTGCTGGGATGCCCCCACCCCAAAGCTATAGGATGTCTCCTGTACAGCACCCCCAACGCAGACCACAGCCTCAGCTTAGAGGGCCTGGAGACACACTCCCTCAAGCCCCCGTGGGGCCCCCATGTCTCTAGAACTGACAAATGATCTCTCTGGCCGTCCTCAAAGGGTGCCAGCTGCTCTTAAACCCCCCTCGCTACAGCCCCCAGACACACCTGACAGCTGCAGGAAGTCCTCTCTGGCTCCCCAGACGCCCCCCTCCTTGCAGGGCCATGCCTAGGGAGCCCCTGTTTCTTGCACACTGCTCTCTTGTCTCTGTCCAGCTGGCCCAGCTCAGGGAGCCCCAGCTGGCTGGAGGGGTGGGCAGCTGGGGAGCAGGGCTTTGGGGAATCAGCATCCCAGGATCCCTTCCCAGGGCCTCTCCCAGCACTTGACTTCCCTGATGATGCCGAAAGGGACAGACATTTCCTGGTCTAACTCCAGGAGGTGGGGAGGAAGACATCCCCAACCTCAGTCCCTCTGCCTCATCCCCCCTGCCATCCACCCCACAAAGCCTGTGGAGACAGTGGGTGCAGCCTGGGTGAATAACCAGTCTGAGGGCTGAGGTCAAGTGGACAAGACAAGGTCAGGCCTACGTGACACCAGAGCTGACTTTTCGCTGAACCTTGGCTGACTATGCCCTTGGATCAAAGAAAGCCTAGAGCCTACCCTGGCACCAGGCACCACCCAGAAAAAGACCCAGGAACCGGGGCTGGGGAACAGTTTAAGCAGGGTTATTCCCTCTACTTCAAAAACGGGTCTGCTGGATCAGAATTGCCAAATTAAAAACTCTAGCTTTCCCCAGAAATATGTGTCTCAAAGCCACCAGACCCCATGCCTGACCCTCCCTTCCTTGGATGTCCAGTAAGAACAAGACCTGCAACTGGGCCAGCAATGCAGCTGCAGGAAGCAGCACACTATACGGGGTCAAAGCCAGGCCGGCTACTGGACCACCCCCACCTTTTTTTGTCTTGCTCTATTGCCCAGGCTGGAGTGCAGTGGTGCAATCCTGGATTCAAGCGATTGTCCTGCCTCAGCCTCCTGAGTAGCTGGGATTACAAGCATCTGCCACCAGGCCCAGCTAAATTTTTTTGTATTTTTAATAGCGACGGGGTTTCGACATGTTGCCCAGGTTGGTCTCGAACTGCTGACTTCAGGTGATCTGCACCCCACCTCGGCCTCCCAAAGTGCTGGGATGACAGGCGTAAGCCACCACGCCCAGAAAAACAGCCCGACCTTAAGCAAACAGCCCGACCTTAAGCCTTGAGCCTCCAGCTCCTACCGAGTCCCCCTTTCTCCTGTCAGCTACTGCCCTCTGCCGGTCGGGAGAGGAAGTGCCTTCTCTCCAAGGGGAAGGGAAGGAGCCCCATCAATACAGTGACCATTTCAAAAGCAAACAAGGACATTTGGCTTGATATTCATATTCGAAAGGCTAGTAAATGGAAATGCCAGGGACTCAGTTCTCATGAAATACTGAAACCCAATCCTAGCCGTGCTTCCTGGACTCCCTTGGGGCACTGAGGAAAGCCCAAAGGGCAGCTTTTTGGGGTCCCAGGAAACATGCACACAGAGGCAGATGCCAGCATCACTAATTCACCACCGCCACACCCACATAAACACACCCTCTATATACCCCGGCCCAGGAGCAGACACTCTCACTCCTGAGGGGCTGCTGCAGAGGGCAGGGCTGGGCCTGGCTCACAGCAGACGATGGGGTCTGGGCCCAGGTATCTGGCTAACCCCCTAGCCTTCCCCATTACCTGTGATCCCTCCTCTCCCCCAGCCAGGCGCTGGTAAGCAGCTCTCTCCCCCATGGAGCCCAAACTCCCGGTGGCTGCGGTCAGGGAGGGAAGCTGCGCCCGCAGCCCCCGCCCCGCAGCGGCACCGGCAGCGTCACTGCCCTGCGTCCTGAGGGGCCGGGCCTCGAGCATCCTCCAGAAGGAGCTCAGGGCTGCTACTGCGTCCAAGCCTGGGGGAGGCCCCAGTCAGTGACCCCCGCCTCCCACAGCCTCATCTGCCATCGGCCAGCAGCCCTGGGGTCGCACCCCTCCTCCTGCGGGCCTGCGGCCATTCCTTCCTGCAGCCGGTCCTAGCTCCGCTCCTCCTCCCCGCGGTGCTGCTCCCACCCTCTCCCAGCAAGCCAGCTGTGCCAGCCCCGCGCTGACCCCCACCGAGAGCCGGGGGCTCTGCCTTCACTGACCACAGAACCGGGCTCCACGCAGCCCTCGGCCCGCCTCCAGGGCCCCAGAGCTGCCCATGGGGCCATGGGGGGGGTTCACGAGTCCCCCGTATTCCACTAGAAGGGGCCATCTAAGACCACAGAAGAAATAGCTCCGTCCGACTCAATCTGAGACCCCTCCTCCTAGACATCCCGGAGCCTGCGGCCTGCCCCACCCCCAGTAGCCGCTCATCTCCCAGAAAGCCGGGCGCCCACCTGCTCGGCCCTGCGCTCAGCCGGCTCCGCACCGCCTCCCGCGCAGACCACGCCCCCAAACAAGCCACGCCCCCACAGGCCGCCCCCCCGCCCCGGAGGCCCCAGGCCCAATTCACCGCACTCCACTCCGGCAAGGCAGCACGCGCTGTGTGTGCTGGGAACGCTGGGCCGATCCGGTACTGCGCTGACCTCCCTGACTTCAGAGCGGTGACATGAGGGCCTGGACTCCTGCTGAAAAGCTGCTCCAACACTGGCCCACGTGGGGGTGCCGCACCCAGCACTGGCGCAAGGCCATCGCCGGCACAGGAAGTCCCAGGGCAGAGACTCTTCCTCTCCCCCGGGGCCACAAGGCATCACTTCTCATTCTGGTGGCATCTGAAGCAGCCACGGACTCTTTAGTACCAGGTATTTAGGGCTGAGGTCAGGGCACCCTCCCTGGGTTGGGGCAGAGGGGAGGTGCGGAGACATCTTCCCACACAGGTTCAAGGCTAAGCGAGACCCCGGGAGGGCACTAGGTGAGTTCCCCGAGGACTACTCCTCACACAGCCCCTTCCCCGCCCGGAAGCACACCGGGATAGGTGGATGACTCTGCTGGGGAGGGGTCCCAGACGCCTGGTTCTATGCTGTAGACGCTTCTTGGCATCTTACTGCAGCTAAAGGCACACACTAGTCTTGGGAGTAGCTGTAAGACCCCAAAGCCGGGACAAGGTGGGAAATACCAGGCCCACTCCCCCTTGCCCTGGCTGGATAAAGGGTCTGATCCAAACCACCGCCCTTTCCCGCTTTCTCCCCGCCTCACCTCCCCCACTAAATCTCATCTCCCAGTACCATCCTATTGTAAGAAATCCACAGGATCCAGGCTACCTTGAGGATTTCCAGAATCCACCCCACATGTACCCCTCTGCTCTTCAGGTTTCCCGTTCTATCTCCAGGCTGCAGAGCTAAAGGAAACAGAAGAGGCTGGGGGCCAGTCCACCTCCGCTGTCCATTCCCCCTGCAGCCTCTCCAGCTGCACTTTGTGACACTTTTTGAAGTGACAAATCCACACCAAGGAACAGACATGACACGCAATTTCCGGCCAAGAGGATTTTTCCAAAACAATGTACTGTATTCTCAGGAATATACGCCAACCCTACCTCCCAGCCAGCCTTCTCCCACCTCCACCTCCCTCTTCTCCAAGCCCTGAACATACTGAAAAGGAGAGACGGGCCTTACCGCTCCCTTCCCCAGCCAGAGGATTATCTTGCCTCCACATGTCAGCCCCACCAAGTTTAGTCAGCCTTAACTCACCCCGCTGTGTGCAGGGCCCAAGCTTCTGGGCCAAGGCCAGGCTGGGTGCCCTCAGAACCTCATTCCAGAGGGAGCTGCACCCGGCAACCCCACACCCTCAGGTCAGCTGGATCTGACATCACACTGGTCTGGGGAGGAGGCTGGCCAGGGACCAAGAAAGAAAAGAGAGTGATTCAGACACATGCCATGACTGTCCATACTCTTTCCATCTCCAGGACAGAGAGGCCCACTCCCTCCCATGGGAGTCTGGCAGCTGAGGTCCTGAGGGCAGGCAAGGCTGTGTCTGCTTGCGGTGCTGGGCCCAGGCCAGTCCTGAGTGTCTTCACCCCCACGTGTTTTCTGTTTTGTTTTTTGAAATAGTGTCTTGCTCTGGCCCCAGACTGGAGTGCAGTGGTGCGATCTTGGCTCACTGCAACCTCTGCCTCCCAGGCTCAAGCAATCCTCCTGCCTCAGCCTCCTGACTAGCTGGGATTACAGGCGTGCACCACCATGCCCAGCTAATATTTGTATTTTTTGTAGAGATGGGGTTTCGTCATGTTGCCCAGGTTGGTCTCAAACTCCT